CCGCCCCGCTCTGGACTCAGTGGACCCTGGTCTGGCTCTGCACACCGTCCCGCTCTGGACTCAGTGGACCCTGGTCTGGCTCTGCACACCGCCCCACTCTGGACTCAGTGGACCCTGGTCTAGATCTGCACACCACCCGACTCTGGACTGAGTGGGCTCACCCAGAAAACTGTACTGTTTTAAGTAGAAGAGGTTCAATAAAATTATTTTAACACACTGGTTTGGGACAAAATACTTTTGATAAACATGAGCAACTCAGCTGAAATCGCCCTGAGGAAAATAAAACCACTTCTAACCATCATTCCCTGTAACTGAGGTTCTCCTATTTCCATGTTTTTGCTGTAAGTAGCTACCATTTATCTCACAATCATTAATAAGCATTTACTGAGCACCTTGTAAATACAAGACCCTGCACTGGATTCTGGAAACGCCAAAAGCATTTAAGGTACCGTCCTTATGAATTTACTACGGGAACCAATACCTTTCCAGACTTGTACATGCAAACACCCAAAGAAGGCAGGAGTGACCAGTGTCCACAGCTGGGGAGGCAGCTGATACTGTCAACACCAGGGAACGCGTCTCTTACAGAGATTTAATCAATGTTCTTGTAGCACGTTTTCATAACAACGGCCTCCGGGGCACCTTCAATCATATAAAGGGAATCACTTTCCGTACCAGGTTCCTCTGTCTTTCTGACTCGGTTTTCTGATTATACCACGGCTCATCTCGGAATGGTTCACTCTGCCACACATACTTCAGGACGGTATTTATCAGCGCTTTACTGATGAGAATGCAGAGGTACACAATGAGGAACACATTCATTGATCTGAAACACAAGACAGCGATGGTTACTCAATTATTGCTCTCGGAAGAATCTAGAGCTGACGTCGCCTTTCCTGCAAACGTCAAGACGAACACATTGTGAAGAAGCAGATTAGGGATAACACAGCAATGGGCTTTAAAGGACCCCACCCCCGCCATAAAATGACATGGTGAAAAGGAAAACGCTCATCTACATTGAGTCCACTCCGTGGTCACAGGCGTGTGAGTCTAGAGGCACCAGGGAAAGGGCTAAGTGGAGGGAAAGCTGCGTGAACAGGAGAGAGGGCTGCTCACGACGACACTGTCGACAATGGTTTCTACACAGTCCAGGATTCCATAACTTAAAGAACATCCAGAAATCAATTTCTTCTACCAATAAGCATCAACCAATGAGTTCCAAATTTAGAGATTATCACTATGAAGGAAAGAGGGAGGGAGGGACGTGAATATTCTATAGGAAACGCCCTCTGCGTAGGAAAAACACGGAACCCTTAGCCAGCGTCCTAGCAGATCTTGTGAAGAAGGTCTGGTTTTCAGTGTCTATTTCTGAAACCTATTTGTCAGTATAGACATCTAGAAACAAAGCCTTCTAGCTTAGTAAGAGCCAAATCTCCATTTCATACTTGACACGGTCATAGATAGACAGGGACCCAGGATCACATTTTGAGCTCAACGTATGAAGAATGGGTAGAAGACACCCCAACAGTCTCCCCAAAATTTCTAAGTAGCAAGTAGCTCTTTATTAAGTAATTGGTGATGGCTCAGTTGTCCACTTCAAGTCAGAGATACACTTTAACAAGAGGCAAAGACAACAAAAACTCCAGGCCACATTTTCTTACAAATTCAACTCTCTCCTTGACTTACTATCATAAGAATTTCACTGTTTAATGAAGACTGCTCTCTCTGCTAATTCTTTCCTCAGTACAACATGTGATTTCCAACAACCCCAAAGTTAAAAGTGACCCTGTTTTGACTTTTTCATGAAATGGTGAGAGGAGTGACTGGGCATCTGACTTGGAACCACAACTGCGGGGCGTCCACCCAAGGGAACCTGTGGAGGTGCGGGCATTTACACCCCCACCAATAAGACCATCTATCTAAACGATCAGCTCTGTCTATCTGGGCACCACGAAGTGACTGCTGATAACGGCCAAGGGAAAACGCTTCCTCTCTACAGTGCTGACGACAGCTCCGAGTGAGATTTTCACGCACGTCAGATAGCAGTACTTACTTCTCCACGGCAGATCGCTTCTGGGACTTTGATTGATAATTTAACGCCATCTTGGTTTCCATGCCCGTGTAAATCGCAACACCTATAAAGTGGAAGAGTGAACGTTAGAACAGTAGCATGACTGTGTCTTGCCTTTACATGGTAAGTTACGCACAGCTACGGTGAAAATGGAATTTTGGGCAAAACGAATCTTATTTTAAACCTCACTAGACACGCTAGCTGTTCATAGAGGGAGTCACACAACAGGATTCTTTAGACTAAAGAAATACTTTTTTTCCTGCATAGAGAGCAATCTGTACTTTTTTTTAAATTTCAGGTTTTAATATATTGAGTTTTCTGGTAATAGGTCACACTTGTATATTTTTAAGTCACCTCACTTAATTAAAACATAAAAAATAACCTCCCAGAAATGGGAGACTTGAGCAAAGAAATGCAGCCACTAAAAGATTCCCTGCAGAACTGTATCGTGTGACTTCTTTCAAGGATATAACTTTATGTCTCTGAGTGAAAAACTACAGGCACTTAAGGAGCAGCAATATCCTTGGAGGCCGCGCTCTGCACACCGTGGTTTTACGACACGGACTTTCCCGGGGAAGCAAAGTGACCGCGGCATGAAGTCCACACCACCTCAGAGCACAGGGGTGCTTTCACGGTAGGGCTGTGGATTTTAAGTGCTCGTCTAGCCTCACTTTTAGATGCTCTTGTTAATAATTCACTAATTAAAACATTTACCGAAGATCTTCTCGGTGTTCTTCAGCGTGGCTCCTCTGAGAAGCAGGTTTTCTGATCCTAACGGCCTGAGAGATACGGATGATCAGAAGCAGGGAATGGAGAGTCAGAGGAAGGCGCCACAGGCAGAAAATCAGCCTATTTGCCTAAGAGACTTCATTGTAAGAAGAAATCGTTTACACGTGGTTTTGCTTCTATTTAGATTATGCAAGTCAGCCTGAGTCCAAGCACAAGTGCGTGGTCTCCGCCCGCGGAGGGGTAAGAACACGGCTCTCCTGAAAGGACCGCGGGGTTCTAGCTCCACTAGCGCCTGCCGTCCCGGCGCGGCCCTGGCATCCGTGCGGGAACTTGTCAGGAACACAGGCTCCCAGGCCCACCCAGACCTACTGACCGGATCTGAAGGTTTAACAGTGTTCCGTCAGCTAATCGTGAGGGCGGTGGGCCGACAAGCGGGGTCCCTGCCCCAGTGCCATCAGCAGCGCCCGGGGACGTGTCACAAGTATCACCCTGACACACTGAACCAGAAACCCTGGCTCCTAACAGGCCTCAACTTGGAGGATGGCTGCGCTGGAAGACCCCCAACTGCACTGGAAAAGTGAAAGGGTGGTGCCCGAGACCCATGTGGCTTCGGCCGTTTCTGCCACATCCTCAGGGAGACTCAGCCATCTCCTGTGACACATCATACTTTTAAAGATGAAGGTGGGATGCTCTGCGTGCGTTTATAAACACTGGCAGCCAAGTTCACAAGACCCTCTGAATGCAGGTGGCCTGCAAGTCTGGAACAATCCAGGCCCTGCTACTTTGGGGGAAAGAGGCAACAACCAAGGAATTTAGAAGCCATTCCTGTAAGAACAAGCGCTGCCCTGGGCACCGAGACTCCGCCGTGAGCAGCAGATGAAAGCTCTGCGTCAGCGGTGCATGTGGCAGTGGTTCCCTGTGCTGGGGGAGTAAGGATTTCTTCTCATTTCCCGGGAGGAAGAGAGAAGTGAGAGGCAGATCCCAACTTTACAGATTTTGCTATTGACAGTATTCTCGTGATTTTCCCTGGAGGGTAAAGGGAAGGAGTTGAAAGTCTTCGCTGAAGTTTGCTTTTCACTTGAGCAGTGCATTTAACTTCCTTTACCATGGAAAGTGCAGACCCCACTGAAGGTTGTAAACCTGCAGTGCAGTCAGTGTATTTCGCTGACACAGCTCAGGATTCGTGACGAGAGCTGGAGACGAGAAAGGGGAGGGAGCCTCCTGGGACACAGCTGACGTGTCGGCCCAGGGCTGTCCAGGGGTCTCAACACGCATCCCTCAGCCTGTCAGCCAGGAAAGACGGGGGGCCCGGGACTGCACCCTGCTGTCTGCTTGTGGTACACGTACTGTCAGCCTCTATTAGCAAGACATTTACAATAATTCGTGTCGAACGTGCTTACGAAAACAAATGGCCCTATAAGAAGCGTCTCTGGGGAGTCTAAAAATAATTTACTTAAAAGAGTACCTTGCTTCTAGTTTGGAGAGGAGGAGGAAGAAGTATCACTCTGCATGGGCGAGAACTTGGATGTATAATTCATAATTGTCCACACCATGAATTTACAAATATCTTTAAATACCCAAATATTAAAAGTCTGCTGAATACTATAAACACTTAAAAAGCTAAACTAGATTAGTATCAGAATACAAAATATATTAGTAATTATCTTCCCAAGCTGCTCAGCATTTAACTTCTTATAAATATAAAGCATGAAAAGCCTGTAGAGTTTACTTTTGCAGGTTCATCCCACTGGCAACATGAATAAATCTAAATTTACTCCTTCAAGCACAAATTAATTCTCACAAGACACAGAAATAGAGGTTATTTCTCCAAGGTCACTAGGAGTTCCCTGCAGACTAGTATATATTTAGGAAAGGCCAGGGCAAGGCCTCCACAAATTCTGAAAAGCACCTACTCACCTGCAACGGATAATAATGATAAAAACACACTAAGAAGTGAACAGACTGTTTTCCTCACAACAAATAATTTCAGGAGTCTCACCAGGGATAAACCCAGGGACTTAGACGCAATGACTGCTTATTTTGCAGTAATTTTCCACTGAGTTTACTTCTACTTCCGGGCAAACATTTTCCATAACACACAAGGCAATGCCAGGATATCGGCAATCTGGAGACTGCTTAAAATTGGAAGAAAAATAATTTCTCTAACAGTGGGGTTTCTGGAAAAGGAGCAACTTCAAAACCTACTGAAAGTCGATTTCCTAAAGTGCAGACCTCAAATACCTCAGAACTCCTCAGAAACTGAGAACATTGTCTGGACTGAGAAAATGCCCAGATAAAACATCCACGGGCCTGGGAAGTGGACGCAGCACAGACCCAGAGAGCTGCGGGCTGGACAACGGTAGATTCCCCTGGTCCTGACCACTGGCTGGTCCTGGGGCACTGCCACCTTGGGCCTCAGAGTGAGACATCTGACAGGGTGTTGATCCTTGTCAACACTCCGCAGACGTGACGCCTGAGACCGCTATGATGACGCAGTGAGCAAACTCACCTGCGACCTATGCTGGTCACAGCCAATCCCCCAGCAGCAGGTCCCTACATCCCCAGGTGACAGAGCCTGTGACTGGCCCCGGTGAGGCACATCCCCTTAAATCTAGATACAATCTAGAGCCAGAGACATCCCAGTAATGATTCTGAGCAGATTTATAGATAAAACAGCCTCCAGGACATAAATCTTTCAGCGTCGTGGTTGAAGACATGTTAGTCTATAAATTATGAGACAGCATTTCTAACGGGGGAAACGGCACCCTCTCCCTTCCCCTGGATCTGTCCAGTGGGCTCCCGACATTTCCCTTGCGTGGGAAGACCCTCCACAGAATCGTGAGAGAAACTTTTCCACAAGCGTCACTGGTCTGTTACACATACGGCTGCATTCACAAGAGAAACCAGAAAAGAGATTGGAACCCGGGCCTTTAGTAAAGCAGAATTCTACTTTCTAAACCTAATAGAACAGCAACAATGAAAAACTCTTATCAGTGAAAGAATTCACTTTTCCTCTAATAAGAGAGATGAAAATCACCGAAAGCGTTTAGAAGAAGCACGGCTCTCACCTCACCACGGGGTCGTTCAGGTCGTTGTAAACATTTATGCGGCCGACAAACCTGGCGACAAAGAAGTCAGGTTACAGACAGGCAGCAGCGTGGCGGGAGGGGGAACTGGAAGGGCCCCGCCCCACACGCCCGCCTTCCTGATCCTGGATGGAGAGGTGCTCTCAGCCGGGATTCCTCATCCAAGAGCACACGGGTGTGTGGCCAACACTCTACCTCAGCCCTCCTTCTTCTTTTACTCTCTGTTCTTATTAGCCCAGGCCTGAAGTGATTTTCCTTCAAAGCTCTTCCTCAAAATACAGAAAATTATTTTTTCTTCAATAAATTTAGTTTCACTAAGCCACTTCAAATATTTGTATAAATGGCTATAGATTTGAATGTTGCTGGACTATGAAAATAAGTAACGTATTTTTGACTCGGTCTTAATTTTCAAGCGGTGATTTATGTTCTCTTTCCAAATCTCCATGTCGCTAGACTCTGGGTGGAGAGCGAGAAGAGTGTCTGGGGACAAGGAGACACTTGGGGGGAACACAGACCCGGCTTACTTGTAGAGGTCGGGCTGGGGCTGCTCACACTCGATGGTGGCATGGAGGCCGTCTATGTCTTCTTCAGTGTGGAATCCCTTTGTGTCCTGAACTGCATAATGAGTCTACAGATTGAACGGGAAACGTGAATTCACAACCAAAATGATCAACACAAACTGAGCGGCCGGTGCCTCCAATCCTAGGGCAGCACTGACCTTTAAGTTTTTGTGCATATAAATAAGACCAATTACAAAGCCTGGTTACCATATGAGAGATGTATAATGAAGAGTTTGCGAATGTTAGAGTTACAGAACTACAGAGTACTAGTGTTATTCCTATAGCTATTAGGTGCCAGAAAATTCTCCCATTCTTATCCAGTGTCTTTAACTTAACATCAGCAGGAAGACAGCAATGCTGGAATTCTTCTCCCAACCTGGACACTTCGATTTATCTGTCATAGCACTGACTATCAACTAGAAAACAAATTCAGGAGCTAAAATATTCCTTTTCATTTACATAATGCCCTGTTGTTTACAGAGAGCCATCAGAGGCATCACAAACTGCCCCCCTGGATGTTCAGGGACCATAAGCTTTCTGCGTAGATCCTCATGGGCCTCGACCAGAGGGCTCCCCAAACCGGCATCCCCTGCAGGGTGTGCAGGCACTGACTCCCGGCCCCGGGAGTTTCTGATGCCTCGGGTGTGGGGTGGGGCCTGAGAGGTTTGTTCCTAACATGATCCCAGGTGACGCCCGATGCTGCTGGCCTGGGCCCCATTTTGAGAACACTGGCCCCGACAGCGGCAGTGCGCATGAACAGCGGGCCTGCTCTGGGGGAGAAAGAAGAGAAAGGCTCGTGCGTGAGGGCCTGCAGAGGAGAGAGGCAGCTCTCAGTCTCCTCTTTCTGAGTCAAGTGTTGGACAAAGGGGGTAACAATGCAAAACAAACAGGAGATACGATCGCAGCAGCAGCAGCATTTATAACACCTGGGGGCACTCATCATGTATCCAGCACTTTGAGAAATTTCCTAATTATATCCTCACAAGAGCCCCTGGAAGACAGGTCTGTCCCCATTTTACGGATGTGAAAACTCCAGAGAGGTGAAAATGCCTGCCCACGGTCACACAGGCAGTGAATATAACCGGTGCGGGATTCCCATGCCCCTACTCTGATTTTAAGGAAAGGGCTCAGATATCCCAGCTCCCCAAGCCAAACCAAGTGCCCAGAAATGCACAGAGAGCCCACAACTAAGATGCTGAGCACAAACACACGGACGGTGGAAGTGGCATGTCGATTCCGGCATCCGCCAGCGCTGCACTAGGGTGACTGCCGTTAAACTCATCCCGACAAAACCGACAACCTGGAGACCTGCAGCGTCTGCTTACTAGCGATGCCGAGACGCAAATGCCTCCCGCGGGACGGGCGCGAAGGGCAGCCCACTGCCAACAGCCAGGGTGTGCGTCGCTCCCGGGCAGCAGGGGACGGGAACATAACCCCCCACGCCCCAGAGACCAGCGGCAGGTCACAATCATCACCTTAGCCACCGGGGACGTCCACCCCAGGATTACTGCTGCTCACAATCGATCGTGCCCGAACACTAACTCTCCTGGGATACGCTACGTGGAACTGTGGAAGTAAACACCGAAACGATCCACAGGGCTTTATCCTGTGATGCCATGAATCACCCATAAAAGATCAGCATATCCATTAGTGTCTTTGCAAAGAAAATATCTCTTTCCCACCATAGAAATTGCCTATATCCTCAGGTACTGTTTAAGCATCGTTTCAGAGCTGTAATTTTGTCAGCAGACGCCTTAGAAATGAATGAATCCAGGGAGCCAGGCTCACTTTCATAAACTCCCTGGAAGCTCCTAGATTTTTTAAATAATGAAAACCTTAAAATTAACAGTGAGGGCCGGCCCCGTGGCTTAGCGGTTAAGTGCACGCGCTCTGATGCTGGCGGCCCGGGTTCGGATCCCGGGAGCGCCCCGAGGCACCACTTCTCCGTCCAACGCGAGGCCGAGTCCCACGTACAGCAACTAGAAGGATGTGAACCTATGACGTAC